TGCATAGTAGGTGCTCTTCCTTTTTTTGTTAATTACCAGATGAATTAGTCATACAATTGGTTGTTTTGATTTACTATAGTGTCTGGTATTTTCTAATTAGTTAATATATTGAACTTCTGAAATCTGTCAGATATTGTATTATCAGGAACCATCTGCCTCAGCTCAAACTTTGACAGGTTTGTCTGGTTTGTGAAATATAAGGAGTCGTCAAACATGGTTACGTGTTTACCTCCTAGTCACGAATACAACTCATTCTAAGTCAGTAGGTGCATCCAGATTAGTATGGTATATTTCATATGATGCTGAGTCAAGGATGTTTACATGTTTGACATGCAACAATGATGGATGGCTCCTCAAAATAATGACACTGCCTCTTTAATTATTCAGATCTTTTAAAATTAAATAATTATTTTTGTATAATTATAAACTCTATATAATAAATTAATACATTATTTATATTGATCAGGAGAACACAAACCATCAACAAAAAAGACAACAATTAGACAGTAAATATGGTCATGAAAGATTAAGCCTTTCTAAATTGATTGGACTAAGACAAAAATATATACAAATATTTAATATAATATGACTTAATTTTTATATTTTTACAGATATGGAAGTCCTGGCAATGTTATCAAAGATTACATAAATTTCTCAGAATGGTATCTAAAAACATTTTCCCGTAAGTTGTTTTTATTTTTTTATGAAGAACGATTTATCTAGTGCCACTGCTAATTTTAAGTTTTTTAAGATATTTTTTTCTCAAAATTATCATTAATGAATTAATATTTCTGTATTTCATTGTCTTCATTATCAAAATAATCTTGTGGTTTCCATGAATATTTCTTGGCTGCTAATTTCTTTTAAACTGGTATAATGCTATATGTACTACTGTATGCATTTTGTTTATTTTCTTAATAGCATAAGGCACAATCAGAAGAATTAATCTCTAATTAATACCTCAAATAATAAATTAATTATTAATTAAATATAAAACAGGTCTGGATAATGTTTGACATTTTTAGAATTTTACATTTCTTGTTCAGCTAGGCTTTAATAGCAATATGAAGTATATTGTTGCACTTTTTCTCTTTAAAAGCTCAAATTTTTTTCTCTTTAAAAGCTCAAATCCTATCAACTTTATTAAAAGTTTTGGATCAGTATCGCCAACAACAATACATAGCCCCAAGAGTTCTTCAACAGTCTCTTAACTACGTCAATACAGGGTAAGTGTACATTGGCATATCGTATTTGGGCTGTCTGATTTGAATTTTAACATTTCCTCTAAAATAAAGCTACACAAAGTGGTTTCATTACCCAGCTGTGAAACTGTAAATGTATATTCTTGCTCATTAAGCTGAGTGTTATTAAGCTAAGCGTTTGGCCGAGAGGGAATGTTCCTGCTTCTTGCGCTGTTGACCCCGGTTCAAACCTGGCCAGCGTCCGGTTTTAATTAGTCAGATTTCTTTGCTCCTTGAATAACCCTCGCATGAGGAATAAGGGACAATGCAACCATTACATGTTGGTACTGGTACTGTACTGCACTGCAGTTGCTGCGGGTTAACAGTGGACCAGCCAAAATTTCCAATTTCAAACTATTTACTATCTAAATATAGCTTAGCACCACATCAATGATACAGTAACAGGGCTGGAAATTAACTGTTATTGCTTAGTAGCACTGCTAAAATTTTATGACACTCCCCCCCCCCCAAAAAAAAAAAATGAATTTTTGTAGCACAAGTAATTTTTTTTTATTTCCCCCATCATCTTCACACCCCTAAGTTAAGCATTCCACCATGTTTTATTCTTTATATTTTGCTCCCCTCCCCCTTCACAAACAACCCCTTCTCAGTCCATGGATTATAATGCAAGAAAGAAGAAATGAAAGAAAGGAAAGGAAAATAAAAGAAATTTAAAAAAAAAAGGAAAGATAAGACAAGAAAGTATAATAAGTGAAAAGAAATGTGAAATAAAAAGAAAGAAAAGGAAAAGAATGAAAAGAATAAAAAGGAAAAGAAACTACAAGAGTAGTAAATATTAAAGAAAGTAGTAAATATGAAATTAGAAAATGGAAAAGAAAGGAAAAAAAAACAAGTGTTAAATAGATATTAATGAATAAAATGAAATGAGAAAAGGGGAAAAGGTATTTGAAGTACTGATGAAGCCTAATAAACATGTTGTAGAAATGTTATTTTAAAACATTTATATCCGGGTACACATACGAGGTAGAGAAAAGAAAACAGGAAATTTTTTTAACACAACTTGTTCTTTTGGCCTGGGAATATCACACCTACAGTATTTCCTAGTCATTCTAAATATACCCATATTTGCCTGCATTAGCTAATAATTACTCTGGTAAGTAGCAGCAGTATTTCTGGTAAGGAGTGACAAAAGGAAGGAAATGATGATTTTATTATTACCACGTCTGCTCTTCTACAATACTTTTGGGGTCAGCATGCCACTTAGTGATCCTCTTCAACGATTATTACACCTACTTTTATTTAAAATTTTATTTTATTTTGTTGGTAGCTTAACAGCCCTATTTCATTAAATGTATTTCATTAAATTGATGTTATTTAAATTGTTTAACCATGAAGGAATAAGTTTAGTACTTAATTCATCTGTGGTTTAACTATTAGTATTAACATCATGTCAACTAACCGTTGTAATATATATTACATATATTTATTTTTATGAAAATGTTTATATTACTACCGTTCGTTAATGCATTGAATGCAATTTCTTATTGTTTCAACTTTCTCTTTATCTTGAGACAACGAAAACTATGGTGTAAACAAAAAATTGATGTGTATTCTTTACTTAAATTTAAAGAATTTAATGTTAGCAGACTTACAGTACCCTAATATTTTTGCATAGCACAATAAAAGTAGAATTTGAAATTACCAAGAACATTATAAGGAGTTGCTTCATGACTAACATATTATCTTTGCCCTGTAAAAGTATTTTGTCCCTTTAAAGGAATTAATTAAGAATCAGGCATCTACTGTAGATTGTGCTGATTGGTTGATACAGTACATGTAAAATGAATGATAGTTTGCTTTGCATACTGCGTGACTGAAAACCATGGGCTAGTTGTAAATAATTGGTATTAGGAGGGAAAAAACACCTTTCTGGTGCTTATGACAATTGCACGCGCAATCAAATGACCTTGTCGCACTAAGAGCGACCAAGTTTAATTTATTGTTGCACCTAAAAAAATCAGGTCGCAAATGCAACCAAAGCCCTTATTAAAAAAAGAGTAGCAGGTCTTTTATAAACATAAGTGTACAGTATGTCTGAGGCAATTATGAATAATAGGGTGAAGTTTATATTGTATGCACTTCAAGATTGAATTGCTGTTGCGGCTACTACTGGTATTGTTGTTGATAATTTGGATTTTTTATAGGAATTCTCTTTAGCATTTTGTACCTTGCCTTTATTGAATGCAAAGTGCTGAACAACTTTTCATATTTTTCCAAATAATATCCTGTATTCATATGTTTACTTAATATCCAAGAAATTATGAGGTGGACTTGTAATTTGACAATAATAAGGCCAACAAAAAAAATTCTTGTTGGCCACGTTTTGGGAAAATACAAAAAATGGGTAGGTCGGTAGGAACAGGGTTATTTTTTCACCAATAATGTGTTTATGCCTAAAAAGTAGAAAATACACAAAAATACAACAAAGACCATTTTAAAATCTATGTTGAAGAGGAAAGCGATTGCATAACAGTCGCATTGCCTACCGTCACAGCAAGATAGGGCTATTCCAGCCTTTTCAGCTCATTAAAAAATATTTTTTGTTGTAGTCAAAAAGAAGGTAAATTAATAAATGAAAATGCCGAACCTCAATTTCGTACATTTCATACATGGCCTAATTGAGGACAGTCTTGTATAATACTCTGTAAATTTGGGTACACTTTTAAATTAGTTAACATTTTCTTATTTTTTTGAATAATTTGACTACAGTGTGAAACATGCCAAGTCATGGAACATTATGAAAGGACACATGCAGACGTTAATCCAAGAGGTCATCTTCCCACTTATGTGTCACACGGATGAGGACGACGAACTCTGGAGTGACGACCCTTACGAGTACATACGGATAAAGTTTGGTAAGTTCACCTCCTTCCCAAAACTTGAAAAAATAAGTTATTCTTTTTTAAAATTACTGATTGGTCAACCTCGGACATTTTTTTTTGATAATTTTAAATGGTTTGCCTGCAAACTTATTTTGGTTTCCATCCGTACACTTTCTTTTGTTTTGCTAATTCTTAAGTGTTAATATTAGTAATTGATATACACCAGTATTTAGTTTTTTTTTTCTCTTAATGTATTTTATTAAGTTGCCATTGAATTGTCAATGAATGATTCATATAATTTGTGTTTGATAAAAACAATAAAACAAACAAACAAATAATACATTTGGGAAGTTTTGGTACTGTAAGATTGGTATTTTGAGTTTTAGTGTTAAACTTTCAATTCAGAATAGGTAGATCAATTGCATTGTAATTTTAATTTTTTATGTTTAAATGTTGAATATTGACCTTTTATTTTTAACAATAATTCAAAATGAAAATTTTGTAAATTAAAGTAATTAAATAAATTTTTTAATGCAATTACCGTATTTACCTTAATGTTTTTGGGCTTCTTGCAATAACTTCTATTTTCTCAATGATTTTGGTGTTTTCTTGTTGTTTTGACATCTTTTGAATGTGTTTTTAATCAGTTTTCAGTACTGCTTACTTGTTTTATCCAATCATCAATTCCATAAATCAAATAAATTTATTTGGAATTACAATTACATGAAATACATTCATACAATTTACAATACATTGCAGTTTACATTTGTTTTTGGGAATTTTTCAGATGTGTTTGAAGATTTTATTTCTCCTGTTACCGCTGCACAAACGGTGTTGCTGTCCTCAGCATCCAAAAGGAAAGAGGTTCTGCAGAAAACCATGGGATTCTGCATGAAGGTGTTGACTGAACCCGGAGTAGTCGCACGGCAGAAAGATGGCGCCCTTCACATGATTGGCTCAATGGCAGAATTACTTCTCAAGGTGATGATTCAAATATTCAGTTTGAAATTGACATTAAATGTTCCCAGCGCTAAAAAAACCCGCTGTTTTTATGAAAAATTTGTTATTAAGTTTTGGGTATCTTAAAATTATACATGAAGTTTTCGTTTAAACTTGTTTATTCGATTGAAATAGGTTGAGTATTAGTATTGAGTTATGAATATTAGTTCATTGGATAATTATAGCCATAAATTTTGAGAAAATGGCTTCCAAAATCAATAGTTTGATATAAGGATTTGTACTTAATTTCAATACTTTTAAGTTAGATATAGTAATTAATATTTTGTATATCTTCTTTCATAAACTGCATAGTAACAGTGTATTTCTCTATTTTTTTTGTAGAAAAAACTTTACAAAGATCGAATGGAACCAATGTTGGTGTCACACGTATTTCCTGAATTTGACAGTGAAGATGGATACATGAGAGCTAGGGTAAGTCAAAATATTTTTTCTTTAAGTGTGAACTGAGAGGGCAGTATATGTCAATTGGCTAAACTGTCGATAACCACTGTTTGTACACTCATCCTTAGTTCGCTTGGTTACATGAAGACCCTTGTACTCATTAATAAAATCTGTACACATTTTGAAAAGTATAGTTTGAGAATGAACCTTTAACTATTGTTAATCAAACTTAACAACTGACCAATCAAAAAAAAATCAGGGATATACAAAGTTCCACACACATATATATTAGCAACAATGCCCACTGTCTCCCATTCTACAGACCAAGCACCAATATTGCTTTAGCTTTTTAAACAAAAACAAGAATGGTTTTCAGTAGCGAAGTTAATGGTTTATGTGAGTCCACACCTTAATACTATATAAATCGAACTAGATCATTACATCATTATACAAAGGCCAGAAGAAGAAATTGTTTATTTTTGTAGCCCAAAAGTACAATCTTCCCCACGCCTCCAAAAGTTGTTTTTTTTTAAATTACCTCCGACCATTATTGTTGATTGTTGTAAGGAAATAAGACATTCAGTAATTTTAAGTGTGTTGATTAACTTTCAGAAAACCAATACAAATATACTGTTTTTATGAATAAGCAGATTTATCATACTCATTCTAGGCCAACTACGTCATCCACACTTTCTCAGAGGTACGCTTCAAAAACGACAAAAACCTTCAGACAGCGCTTGACCTGACTCGTAGATCACTCGTACACGACAAAGAAATGCCAGTGAAAGTGGAAGCTGCCATCGCCTTGCAGATGCTTATCACCAGCCACGAGAAAGCCAAAGACTACATCCAGCCCCATGTCAAAGAGGTCATCGAAGGTAGGCGACCTTTGATTCTTTACTCTTGACAGCTAATGATGAATACTGCTAGCAGTGTAATTGTCTCTAAGGACACTCTCCCGATTTCAATTATTTTTTTAAAATTAAATTAATTTTGCTTACCTTATATAAATTGAAATACAACTATGCTGTTTTTATTTGAATTAGATTAACTAAATATCATGTTAACTTTTCTGTGAATGTTGAAAATGTTTAAATTATTTGGTAGAAGAATGCGTGACTTCAAATCCCACAATCATGTATTAATAGCTCTACTGCAGATATTTTATAATGACTAATACAATTCTTCTTTGTAAGTCGGTGCTTAAGTATCAGAAGTCCCAATAAACTGGAATTGACCCCTATTAAGTATGATTTTTACATGATAACCTAAGGTGCGCATAGTTCACATGCTGCCCAACGGTGATTTTTTTTTTCCAGCCTGAGAAAATGAATTAAAAACCAATCTGTGTAGCCCGCCAACTATCTTGGCTTGAAAACGCTTTGTTTCTTGTGGCCAGACACCAATCATCAGTCAAAAATAACATTAAAACTGAGCTTAAAGTGGTATAAAAGCAGTGCGTGAAAGCACACATTTAAGTTTGTGTGCTGTCATTGTTGTTAAATCAGAAATTCGCTTTGCCCTCCGACCCATTTTTATGGCCACTCTTGAGCTAAGGCATTAACAGCAAGCCATTACAATGGACATTCACCGTTGTCACAAGGCACCAATTATCAAAAAGTGCTTGCACCATGGTTCTTATGAATACTTGTCAATACCTCAGCAAAGGAATACAGGAATAACAATATTTGCATGCACTAATCGGTGTGGAAAATTGTTCGTATTGTAATTTTTAATTAAAAGCTATTAACATGATTATATATACAAAGCAAGTAAATTAAAATATTAAATGGTATTTTTGAAGGTTTTATCTCATCAACAATTGTTTCATGCTTTAGAAGATAAAAGATAACCAGCCTCTTGGTCTTTCACATAAAATTCTTGAGTTCTGTCTAGATCATCTAATTTTCTTTGACTAAAAATTGTTGTATGCCCATATATAGTCATGATGTGCCCATATATATTCATCATGACCATATTACGTATTTCACATGGTTTTGTCAAAATAGGGCATTTCCTCTTTCTTTTCATTAAAGTCAATATTTTTTTTTACAGCGTTATTGATTGTGATCAGAGAAACTGAAAATGATGATTTAACGAACGTGATGCAGAAGCTGATATGCACGTATTGTGAAGAGGTGACAACTATTGCTGTTGATATCACAACGCATTTAGTAAGTTCCCCATATTTTGCTTCATATTAACTGGCAATAGAGTTTTTTGTGACATCGATTATAATAGTATTTAAACTAGCTACGCTAGCCTTGTCGTTTTGTTTGACTAATAAAATTTTATCTAACAAACATATGACATGCCAAAATATGGTCATGATGACATCAAATCATGACCATATATAGGCACATCATGACTATATATGGGCAGTTTTTTGTCAATGAAAATGGAGCTTAAGTGTTACTAACTTACCCATATATCTATCCCTCTACAATACATTATTTCAGAGTACTGTACTAAATGCTATTTTTAAAATGGTTATATTACTCCATTGAGAGTATATTCAGTATTCAACTGGCAGAACATATGCCTTATGTTGCATCAAAGCCTATCAGAAGGTAAATAGCTCAGAATGTTTATTTTTTGATCTGCATTAATGTGGCTCATTTTAAATAGGTTTAAATAGAGGTTCTTGGTTTTTTTTCTTTCATTCAGGCTGCCACGTTTACTCAAGTGGTGGATGGTGACGATCCCTCTGACGATAAGGCAATCACGGCAATGGGGATCTTAAACACGATAGAAACGTTATTGAATGTCATGGAAGATCACAAGGAGGTGAGAAATACACATAGATCTATTAAACAACTAGAGTGCTGACTTTGTGACGAAGCATTTGCAGAGTTGTGTATAGGAAAGTGCCACCTTCAGGCTTAGCATACATTTTGCAACCATAATTAAGACCCCAGACCAATTAAAATTAATTCATTGCCCATTTTTATTAATAATAATAACAAATTAATAAATTAACCTAGCCAATAAGAGGCCAAATGGAGTGTCTGATTTGAACAAAAAGTACTAAGAAATGAAAATTGAAATTGCATTACCGCAACCCTCGAGTTTCAACATATGGGTAACTTGGCGCTACTCAACTTACATGTGTAAATTGAGGGCACCACTGCAGCCCTCAAAATTAGGAAAAAATATGTCGGCAAAATAAAAAAAAGAAAATAGCCGGCACTATAAAATTGACGCCGGTTATAATGTCGGCAGTTTTTAGTTTCAGCTACAGCCCTGAAATCAACCCATGCTGACCTGTTATAGCGGTGATGGATGTCACCCAATCAAGCTGGAAAGTCTAGCCATGTACTAATTATTGATAAAATGTTGAACAATATTTATGTTGTGATGATGAATAAAATGAAACTACAAAAACTACAAAATAAAAATACAGTGGAATCTCTGAATGCCCAGAAAACCGAATTTCATGCAAAACCGAATTTTTTTTCAAGTCCTAAAACCATTCCTATTCTTCCTTTAATAAAATACTTCCCGAAAACTGGATTTTCCTATTTCGAACGTTTTATTCGGTCCGGGAACATAAAAATCAACTTCTACAAACTGAGCAAACAGTTAATAAACGACGATTTCCAGACGAAATAACACAATAATCATCGCTGTTTGTTAATTAACAACTACGCCTAGAACAACACCCTGTGAATGAACCGTTGTACAGCTAGCTCAGTCCCATTAGCGTTGCCATAGAAATGTTCTATTTATTAAAACGAAACACCAGTAGGCCTAAACGTTAATTAGATAAATTGAAAGTTACGCCTTCCATTGTTTATAAAGTGCATTATCGCCTTAGGCCTAATCCTTAAAAATCGATAGCAATCAGCCTGAAATGAAGATGGAATTTAAAGCAAGTTTTTACGACGGCTGACTCTTTTTCAGTAGACGTTTATTTTAGATTTGGATGTCGTAGATTCATCAGTGTAAATTACAAATGCATAGCTTCATTCATTCCTCAAAAACATGTTGCTAAATACGGATTAAATTTGTACATAGAGAATGAAATTTAAATTTTTCGGATTTGTTTAGATTTAACTGTAAATCAAAACCATGAGGGTTTCTTATTTGTTTTAATATCTGCTTAATTTAAAATTAATCTGTTTACACTGAGCTTGTTGATGTCTGCAAGCTGTCACACACTATGAAACCTCGGGCGATCTGACGTTATCACAGCCAAGCACATGTTTGCCCATCCACGAAAAAAATTAACCAATTAGCGGCAGAGTTAATATTTACACGAAGAATGTGTTGTGTTTAGAAAAAAATGTCCAACCCGAAAATGCACGTAAAAAAAAAAAAACAGCATGAAACACACAATCCGGTTTGATTTTATTCACATTTTAATCATAATACAATATAAAAGACATTAAATAACTTGCTTTCATTAAAAATAAAGTTCACGGCGATTCTGCCGCGTCTATCACCACTGGTACTACAAGTACCAGCGTAGGCCGGGGTTGGCTTGGGCTAGGCCTAAAATCTTCACGTCTGTGATTTTTTGGTCGGCGTTGGGCAGATACGCATAGGACAACAGTATTGTGTATAGTGAATGTTGTGTGGCGATAGCATTTCAAAGTTTGGTTCCCTAGTCATGGGCTTACTTATTATTTTGTGCTTACGGAAGTCCTCCTTGGTTCAAGAGAAAATTGATTCAATATTGGCACAATTATGATTTTGTATCAGCTTTTCCAATAAAAAAAAAAGCATATTAATAATACTATTATTTGCTTTATTTAGATTATGCTCCAATTAGAAGGAATTGTCTTACAAGTTGTGCGAGTAATTCTGCAGCAACAAGTAATTGGTAGGTTATACTAATTTATTTATCTGTATCTACAAACATTGTATACAATTTTTTAATGGTGAAAAGCTGTCACAACTTTTGGTACATCCTCACACTCAGTATAGTTTTGTGGTTAAACAGTGTGACTTAGTGGTTTAGGTATGTTGCTTAGGTAATATGTTTGACTTCGTGGTTAACTAAAAAGTGGTTAAAATGTGTGACCTTAAGTTAAGGTGTATTACCTAGTGAATAAGGTACATGGCTAAGTGGATATGGTATTTTACTTAATAATTTAAGTATGTTAATTAAAATTATTTCTACTCAAAAGAGAGAATTTTTATTATAATTATTGTAGTAGAATATACTATATAGTTTTTAAATCCTTTTTTTATTCTTTTGAAATTGCTGTTAGAGTTGCTGTTGTTTTTGTGTCTATGCCCCCTTACCACACATTTCCTGGTTACTGAATCCCATGCGGATACTTTATTAGTAAACATTATATAGTAAGGCAGTATAGGGCACAGACACACGCTCCTGTTGGGAGCCTATCTTTGTTATAATCTTATAATTGCTAATAAAGTTACTCACTGTGTATATTTCATTTATAGATTTTTATGAGGAAGTTTTATCACTGATCTTTAGTATGACATGCACACATATATCACCCCCTCTATGGCAAGTGTTTCCAATGGTCTATGAAATGTTCAACAATGATGGTTTTGACTACTTCTTAGGTAAGTAACACCTTGTCTTATAATAGTGTCATAATAATTATATTAATATTAATAAAGCATCCATACTGCCATGTCATTGAGAGGCTGTTTAGCACAGTGGGAATGAATTGATTTTTTTTTTTCATGATGTAGGCCTATATTATTAACTGTTGCATCTTCAAATTGAATTTATTGTTTTTTTGTAGAGGGCCCCTTTAAGTCAGCGTTGCTGTTAGGGTCACCCTCGTCAAATAAAGTTGAATAAAAATAAAATAAAAATGGTTTGGTTTCCCAACCTTGACGTCAGGTTTTCAATCCTTTGCCAGTGCCGGATTAACCATTAGGCAAATAAGGCACAAGCCTTGCGGGCCAGGCGAAAATGATGGGCCATCAAAAGTTGGGCCAGAAAACTCGGGAGACATTCTACTGTTAGAGTTGTGGCAGAGTAACGCTTCTCTCCGACACGAAAGATTTTGTAATCACGGTAGCTGGGGTTTTTACATTTCGTAATTATTACCATAGGGTCCATTCAATTAACATTTTTGGGCCATTTCCAAAATGTGCCTTGAGGCCAGACGATGCTTAATCCGGCACTGTCCTTCGCTGTGCATTTTGTTGTGTGCTTGCGCAAGGCACTTTATCTACATTGCTTTAGTCCACCCAGCTGTATCAATTGGACCATCAAATTACTGGGAGTGCAGTGAACCAGCATTCCACCCAGGGGGAGCATCATGCTCTTTTCCACTTTACAATACTTAAATCAGGGGATAAGCTCCGGCCCATATGTGCCCCCGTGGCTCAGCAAGGATTGACTTTACCCCCATGCCCCTTGGCACTCATTGCCTTATTATATTTCGAACTACAGATACATTCAATGCTTTTAGACTGAGGATGAAGTAACAATGCACAGAGTAAAGAGCATTGACTCTCTAAGTGTTGCAGTTAATTTTGAGATTTATTAATAAATCTCATTGAGGAGATTACAACCTACATTAAATGTTTTTGTGTGAGCCAATCAAAAATAATATTTTTTTTCAATGTTTTCCCCCAGAAATGATGCCTGCTCTGCACAATTATATCACAGTTGATCCACAGACCTTCCTCTCCAACACTGTGTACATAGAAAGTATCTTCAACATTTGTAAAAAGGTATTGTATTTCAATATTACTTTTTAGATCATTATATACTATGCACACATGATACTGTTTTTCTGGGTCGAATACAATGTATACAATAATAAAATATAGATAAGAAAAAATACAGCGTATCACATTAACACATAAACAGATACTACCAAAATTTTACATAAACTTTTGCTACTGAACAGATTTGCTTACACACCATAGAATTGCTGTCAGCAAATGTATGGGATATTGTACTCAAACATCTTTAAATCATACTGAAATATGGTTATTTGAAATAGGCAATCAGGCACGGATCCAGCAGGGGAACCGGGGGGGGGGGGGTAATTAATTTTTATTGTTGGATTTTTGTGCATGGCAGCACATTTTCAAATATCATTCAAAGCAATGTAAAAAAAAGCATGCTGTATTTTTTGTGAATAAACACACCCTCTAGAGCCTCGTTTTGGAATAAACGCCCTGAGGCGTTTATTTTTTCCTCAAATAAATGCGCTCCCTTCCAAAAAAGAAAAACAATTATTGTAAACTAATCTAATAGACGCAACATTATTCCTGCCTGCCAATTTCCGTTAGAATCCTATTTAATCATATTATTATTAATTGCAATCATATTATGTTTAATTTGATTCTGTTTGTGGCACAGGTAATTTCAGAAGATGCAGAGGGTGGTGAAGATGCTGAATGCCATGCCATGAAGCTCTTAGAGGTCATTATTATACAATACAAAGGTCGCATTGATCAGGTAAAATATTGCTCCAGTAGGATTGTGTTTGTGGTAGCTATTTCTCCTTGAGTAACCTATTATTATTCATAATAATCATAGGTCACTCAAGGTCATATACAGTAAGTCATATATTCATGCCATATATGTAGTCAGGTCAGGTTCTACCTGCTGCTGGTAACCATGTAAACCAGTACTACCTGTTCATTGATGGGTGGTCGGCGACAAAACTGGCTCACCCACCTGGGAAAACTCTGTTGAGGAAGGTGTGTGAACCCCAGCCTGATTAAAAATAAGACGTGTGGAAAGCATGGATCAGTTCTTGGAGGAACCAACGGGCATTGACCCTTTCCCCTAGGGTGATGGGTTAGTGGTATGCCAGGGCAGGCTCACTGTGAAAAACAAACGCTCCAATAGCGAAATGATAACACTAATGAAACAAGAGCAGCAACCAGCCCGAAGGTTGCCGTGGACCACACCTGCCTACGACAAAACGGAAGGTGTAAACCCTCGATGGAGACCTGCTTCCTTAGGACTGTCCAGTGTCATCATGGCGTAAAACCCATTTGAATAATGTTTTTTCTCCTTTTTGGAATTTTTCCCCCATTTTTATGGTTTAGTAATGTAATTTAATGAGGCCAAAAAAATGATATGAGAACGATTTGTTCTAACCTAAGACCCTAGTATATATTTTGAAAATTAGAAATGAATGTGTCAGTTCCTATAATTACTACGCCAGAGGTTTAGTTGAGTGTTGTTCCTTTTGATATTTACTTAAAAGTGCTACCAGTATAAGAAGCTACTTCCCATGCAGTGCATATTATTATTTTGATAACTGGAATTATAGGTTTATTAAGGTTAAGTAGTGTTGAGTTGAATAAGCTATGATTAGTTAGGATGACACCAAAAAAGGCTATATGATTTCATCTTGTATATCATACTACTGTTAAATTTACATTTACTATTTAATAATTGATAGATATTCTGCTCAAATAACACTTGGATATGCATATTTTTCTTGCAGTGTATACCTTCATTTGTGACTTTAGCTATGGAAAGGTTGATGCGCAACATCAAGACAAGTGAACTTCAACAGATGTGTCTTCAGGTGATTGTGGGTGCGCTGTATTACGACACTGCGATCCTGCTCCAGACACTTGAGAAGGCAGTGGTTCCGACGACGGGTGAACCTGCACTGGTGTGGTTCGTCAAGATGTGGTTACAGTATACAGACTGTTTTCTCGGGTAGGCTTGTGTACAAGATCGGATTGCTGTAGTGATACTAAAGGTGGAATTGGGCTGTATTGTGGCAACATGCTTGCCTTCTATTCCTAGGGGTTCTGGGCCTAGATTTTGCTAACACAAGTATTTTTTTTTCTCATGAATACAAACAACTCCATTCGCTAAGCATGAAGCAAATGGAGTTCGCAACTGATGTCTCAAAACTAGATCATTAATTTTATAAGCCACAATAAAGATGTAAAGTTATGTTAGAAAGGTCATCATCATTATCGTCATGTACCATGTCTTAGGACGTAGGTGATCAAGACTTAACGCAATTCTCGTACATCAGTTGAAAAATGTATGTAAACGGTAGGTTAGCTGTTGAGGTAGCTGTATCGACTGTGTCATTCAGTAATGAAGTGATGTCACATGGTATTTGTCATCAACAACATATTACTCTGTTGTTTGGTGTTCAGATTGTTTTATTATGGTGTATCTAAGCACTTCAAAGTAATGTAGTTTCAACAAAAATTCAATTAGCTATCATAAATAGCGTGGTAATTTTTATATGATGGTTGGAAATGAATATGCCACCGTTACAGGTAAAACTATTACAGCTTCTCAATACTAAAATATGCAATACTCTCGCATTCTTATGATTATTACTCAGTTTAACAATTAGCGACAGTACGCTGGTTTTGGGATGGCAAGCTTTATATGAACAGTGGCATATCTAAGCGTCTAGATGGGGTGGGGGCTGATTGGTGGTAGATTGTGGGGAGGGGGAGAGGTGACTGGGTACAAAGGTGAAGTGGGATGAAGGTGCTAGCATGCAAAATATGGTGATTTTGAACTGCTTGAGCATGGTTTGTTGGTTTTAAACATTTTCAGTAGAGGAGAACTGGAGAGAAGGCTGTGAGTTTTTTTTTTTTTTTTTGGGTGGAGCATGCTTTCCTGTACACCCACTGCATATGTACACAACATTGAGTTATTTTTTATGTTTCTTGTTTCCCCCCAGTTTACATGATAGGAAGGTGTGTGTCCTAGGGCTCTTGGCTCTCCTTGAGCTTCCTGACAGGCCAGAAGCTGTGTCTGCTAGTGCCCAGCATTATCTTCCAGCACTTATCATGCTCTTTAAGGGTTTACAGAGGGCTTATGATTGTAAGTATTCTGCTATTGGGGACCATCCATAGTTTTCAACAAAACATACTCCTTTGTGTTTTAAAGTGTAGGCTTAAGTACTATTTTATGAAAAAAGATGATCTCAAAATCAACATTTTATTTTGTGAAAAGAGTATGTTGTGTACTCTTATGAAAATGATGAAAGTTATAAATTACCCTAAATATTTTTACATATTTTATATTTATTTCTATTGTCTTGATTTTGTAATGAGGTGTTTAGGACCCCTATGGAAACAAGCGGTCCAGCACTCAATTTATCTTACATTGTATGGGATTTTTTATTTATTGTGAATTTTCTTTAAGTTTGAGAGCAATAGAATATTCAAAAAATAAATATATGGTATATTTTATTACCTGATCCTTAATATTGTAAAAATGTTTTTTTAAATGTTTGTTTAGTTATAGTTTGAGCTGTTCTTGATTTACTTTTTCAAGCTTGGTTTCCATACAATTGCTACACACTGTCATCGACAGCTTTCGGTGATGCTGATTGGTCAGTCAAATTGGTGAGCCTTCCCGATTGCTACGCAGTACAGTGATCACACTAAAAACACTGTAGTGACAATGTAGCGATTTTAAGGAAACCAGGGTTCAATGTTGTCTTGTGTGCCTGTCTGTACTTGCTGACTCTTGCTCACCCAACACACTTGCTCAGCTTGTAGAAAATGAAATTTTTATTAAAATCCTGTTTTATGTGCTTAGATCGTACAAGTTTAGAGAATGAAGATTCAGATGAAGATGACGACGAAGATGAGGAATATGATGAAGTGTTAGAATCAGATGAAGATGAAGTCGATGAAGATGGAGCAGAGTACATGGAGAAACTGGAAAAGTCGGTAAGTATTCCGCTTAGATTGGAATTAGAAATTTAGCTGGGCCACTGGATAAACTGCAGCGGCCATAATACAACGTCAGTACTAATATATCCCCTGTCACTGTAACTTCCAATGTTATTTTCCTATCCAAGACCGTGACTAATATTTCATTAGTGCACAGTTTGCGTGACCTTTTTTCCTGTTTGTGTGCAAAAGGTCAAATCAACACCTAGAACTATGATGCAAGACTGCAGAGAGGACACACACTTGCACATCTTTGTTGACAAGTGGTAATTTAAAACATTGTATACATTCATAGGACAAAGTAAATTAGAACCCGAAGGAAGTCACTTTAAAGGTAATATTTATGTGTGAAAAAATAATTAACAACACTATGTGCAATTGGCTTGTGTGTTTGGACAAGGTGCTTTACCTACAGTTGTCTCTCATGACCCAGGAGTACAAATGGGTACCCGGTTCACTACTGGCGGGGAAATTAACTGGCCACCCTGCCACACAATTCCGAGGCTTAGTACGATGTGCTAACAGCTCATTACCCTACGTTCAGTAATGAATTCAAGACTACCTTTACCTTTTTTTAGCTTGATGGCAAAACTGAAGTTGATGAGGATGAAGCCTACGAGGAGACGGCTCTAGAAGGTTATAATACTGCATTAGATGACGAAGATACGACGGTTGATGAATATGAGGTCTTCAAGCAAGTCATGCAAAGTAAGTGGCATCACGCACCTTCTTCGTTTGCGATAAGCACAATGCTTGTGGCTTCGATGCTTGGGGGGGGGTTTGAACACTCGTAGTGCAGGTCGTGTGTGTCTTTAGGGAAGACACTGGCCTCTCTCTGCATAGGAGTATTAATGGGTCCAGTGTTTTCTGTGAATGTAAACTGTTGTGAGGGGGAGTGACAAAATCAATATCCTCACAGAGTCACAGCATTGCACAGTCTGTTCTAAACACCCAGAAATTTATTAATCTTTAGTTAATAAACTTCTTCACTTACCAAAATACAGAAGTGATTGAGACGAGCCAACAGATGACAAACACCTCTACAATGGTTGCCCCTTACAATTAGAATACAAAAATAGATATAAGAAAGATGAGCACTCTAGCCTGTATGGTTTGACTACCTGTTTAGCTTAGCTCTGACATATTCAGTAAAATGTAGTATCCTTAATCATTTGGATACTGACACAAGCAGTGAGTTAGTGAGGAGGTTATATAGATAAGGTCGATGGCATCCGAGACAAAACGGCTTGCTCCGTATTTAAAATTTTTGAAGTGCCTGAATGTCATTTTTTTTTAGTAATCGGTTGTAGCATGGAGGTATTATTGAGAAGGAGATCACTCGGCAAAGCTACGCGCACGCAGCGCTATGCAAATGAACCAAGATCAAAGTTGCCGCAGCGCGTAAAGAACGTTTGCGCGATGCCTTTGAAGTCCCATGTGTCTATCCAAAATCTGAGTATTTTTCAGTTTTACACTGACTTAGCTTTATAGTCGAACCAGTCTATCTTTAGACAAAATTATAATGAACACAGAAGTAATTTTAACATAAATATTTTACGAAATCCGTTCCTGAAATATACAAATAATAACATACCAAAAGCCCGAAAAAATCTAATCAGGGGAACATCGTTCATTATAAAGATATTTAATGGGTTAAAATCAAACGTTTTATTGCACAACTGCTCTGCTGGAAGCGTATAAATGCATGTCGTTGCCAAGTTGTTGCTAACGAATTATAGGGCCCATACGCCCGCGCGCGATCCAAAAGCGGGGAACACATAGGTTTGTCGCGTCAAAGGGATCTGTTGCCGAGTGATCTCCTTCTCAATAATACCTCCATGGTTGTAGTAGTTGGATTTATGTAGTGCTTTACACCAATCTCAAAGCTGCTCAGGTCTGTCCACAATTAATGCTTCAAATGTTGTTTGTTTGATGATCATGTAGATTTACAAATGCGTGACCCAGAATGGTACAATGCTCTAACAAGTGCGCTTACAGACGAGAACCGCAGTGATTTGCAACAAGTCATTCTTTACTCGGATCAACGTAAACAGGCAATAGGTGAGTATAAACTATGCTAAATTTATGATGTGTGCATCAGTGGTAAGCCACCAGCCATACAATACCAGGAGTGTTAGTTCAATCCTACACTAGTCACTTTTTATATAGTTTAGTGTTAAAGCAATGGGCTCACCAACCTAAGATTATTGTTTCAAGATTTACACTCATCCCTTTGTATAAAGCATAACAGTAATGTACAGTAATATGCTTTCTGTTTTAGGCTTGTTAAGCTGGCATTTAATATTAAAACTATAATGGCGCATAGTGTGGCTTAGCAATTCATTGGGCATGCCATTTTGGTTCAGTTCCTACACTTATCACTCCAATTCCACGAATGTACTGTCACTAATTGTTAAACTCAGTAATGTGGTAGTATTGTATACTTTAGTACAGAGAAGCTGTAATACTTTTACTCATTGCAGTAGTAGGTCAATTCCAGTAAATGAAAAGCTTATAATGTGGAGAATAAGAATAATATTAAAAAGCCAATTTTCATTTTTTTGGTCATTAACTCTTTCACTACGGCGAGCCGCTCACAGCGGCGCAGATAAAATATGCAGTTTGAGCGGAAAACCGCTGACAGCGGCTTGTTGACGTCACTGTAAACAAATGAGGATATCCCTTGGATATCCCCATGACGTTTGCATATATTATATTGAACAACAATTTGCATGACCTTTGACCTTATTTTGAGCCGTTGAGGGCGGCTCTCCGTCTGAATAAAGGCTGAAACAGGCTTCAAGCAGGCATTGTTGTTTTGAGTAACATTTCAATGGCTGCGCTTGGGAGACGTAATTTAACTGCAGAAGAAGTGCTTCGCAGACTTGCACAGTGGGATGTCAA